GAGAAGGATGATGTAAAAACTAGTGAAAAATATATAATTTCTTTAAAAAAAAATGATGATAACGTATTGCACTCTTCAATTACTACGACATCCTGTAACTAAAACGTGGGATAAGCGGAATAAGAGGCGAAAAAAAATAGATTAGAACTAAGTCAAACATGTTGAATAGATCCTCCTTCATCTTCAATACGATAAATCTTCAAAACACGGTGTTGCAAATGGATAATTATCATCGTGGGAGATGCTTACAAGCAGATAGGAGTAATGAACTCGACGTTTCTTTTCATCCAACCCACTTATGCGCCATTTTAAAAGCTTTTAGACAAAGGGACGACCAGGGTTTGACCCTTGGGATAGTGTCCAGCTATAGAATCCCCCAATTAGAAGGGGATCAATGGCCGTGACCTCACAATGACCCCCCATTGCAGTGGGTTAAAGGGATAACGCGGAAGCGAGGGAACTTATCCATTCTTTTCTATCTCTTGGGGATTTTTTTTTTTTCCTTTTCCTCCTCTCTGTAGGATTACAAGAGGAGCAGCTGCGGGCAGTTTTCGTCCTCCAGAGATTATCTTTTCTTTTCTACTTCCCACCCACTTACTTAAAAACAGCTGATTTTTTTTCGGTGGAGGAAGGTTCCCAGATATTAATTTGAAGTAGAAATCCTCAAAAAAATACACGTTTTTTTAAATATATATTATCAGTAAATTTAAACTTAAATTGTTAATGTGTAAATTTGCATACATTGCTGCAAATTTTTATATTAATTAAATTTTTTCTTGAATATTAATTTGTATTTTTTATGATTTAAACGTTAATTAATCCCTTTTTTTTAAAAGTCTTTCTTTGATTCTTATTTGATAAAATTACCGAAATTTTATGAGAAATATTCTAGTGTCTAGAGATGCTGGAAGGTACAAAATTCCCCTTCAAAAAAACCCCTAAAAATGTGAAGTTTTTTAAAACAAATCCAAAATATTCTACTATTTTTGTGTTTTTTTTTTACCAAATAAATCACCAAAATACACAATAAACAATCCTCTCTTTTGAATAATTAAAACAATAATCTGATTTAAGATTGGGTAAACAAGCATCAAGTAATTGTTGGGAGCATATAAATTTACGAAATTATCATCATCCCCCATTTTGAAGTTATACAGACGATAAAAGGGGGTAGAGAGAGAGAGTAAGCGAGAGAGAGAACTAATAAATGATGCAGACTTCACCTATAACACACGAGGTCCTAGTTTAATAGCCGTACAACCAATAGGAGATTGGTAAAGGAGGGTCATCTTCTACAGAAATTAGATAAAGAGATGGGTTTAGTGCTTCATAGGAATTGTTAGAAGAGAGGATAGAGGACAGGTGTCCATCAAAGGAACAATTCTGATAATCTGTACCAAGGGGGGATTATTTTTAGTGTACTCTTCTATAAGGGATGATTCTAAAAAGTTGTGTGTTTACTTAGAAACTTTTTTTTTTTTTGTAGATTAGTTTAGGGGTGAATAGTGTCGTTCATGGGAAAGTTTCCATCGTAAATGGTGAGTTGTGAAAGTCGTGAGGGGGGGGTTGAAAGTTAGGATGATCTTTATTGTTTTCTGGGGGGTTTTCGTACGTGATTAAGTGAATAGTTTGAAGGGAGGGTTTTTTTAAAGTATTTTTGGGTGTGTTTAGGATAGATAGGGTGAATCACCAGCTTTTCTGGCCACGTGAAGTGTCTCAATTGCTTCGTGTTTCACGTGTAAACTGCCTAAATCATTTCGTGAATCATACGTATCAATCGTGAATCAATTGTTTCATTGCATACACACACGAATTACGTATAAATTATTACGTGAATCGTATGGTTTAAATAATCACGAGGACTTTTTTAGTCACGTGGTTTTACTTATTCACGTGAATTCTTTAAGCCACTTTTTTAAATCACATATTATACCTGAACTCCGTAAACCTGTGAACACGTGGCTTACGTAATCACGTGGTTCACGTCTGCACAGTCACGTGAACAATTTAAATTACTGTGAATTGCTTAGTCACGTGAATTTTACAGCATAGTCACGTAGACTGAAACTCTATAGATTTGAATAGAATATTTTTTCTTTCGATATTAACTCAATGCGTGTGTGACGTAGTATTTGCGTCATTCATCGCCGTCAGTGACGTAAGTCTGGCTTGTCACGTGACTAATTCAAATATTTTTCTTGATCTACGTGGTATTACACGTATATATATATTTTTTCTTTTCTCTATCTAGGACTGTATGTAGAGTACACTTGCTAAATATTTAATTCAATTGCTGCTAAGAGTGAAAAATTTATAAGGCTAGTTAAAAATAATGTTTAAGATACTTTCCCTTCTAAAAACACTCAAATTATTATTTAATTTTAGTGTCTAAACACGTTTTAAACTAGAAAAGTGGATACTAGATACGTGAATACGTGAATATATAATGGAGAATTTGGTTAAATTAACGACACAAACTTTCTCCAGTAAGTGGTTTTTTTAATAGAAAATTTAGCCTTTTTCTCTGTTTCTGTTCACGAAAAAAAGGCTCATTTTGCGAAGAGAAAGGCTCGTTTAATATGTTTTCTCTTCCACAATAATACATCTTAAATGACCTTCAGAAAGTTCGTTTAGTAAACAAAAGGCTGGTTTTAAACTTGTTCTTTTCCAAAAAAGGCTTATTTTGTGAAGAAAAAGGCTTATTTAAAGCGAGTTAAAACGTTGAATGTATTAAGAAAACTTTGGTTATTTTAATGGTATGAATCTTCTTTATTTAAAAAAAAAAATAAGGTTTTCGTGAATAAAAGGCTCGCTTTAAAAAGAAAACAGGCTCATGTTTTGTAGAGGCTCATGTTTTGTAGAGGGACGTATCTATCATTAAAATAAGCAATTTTTTTCTTTATATAGCGACGTATACACGTATTTCGACTCCTATTCTAAAACAAAAAGAAGCCTTTTTAGAAGGAAGAAAAAAAGGCTATTTTTTTACAAACCTCCAAAAACTGCTAGCCTAAAGTAATTTAGTTACGAAATATCGAATGAAACTGAAGATTGTTTCCTTAAAAAAAATTTCATTTTCTAAAAAAATTCGATAAAATTCGTGATCCTAGATAAGTCTCCTTTATCCTTAAATAAGATTAATTTCCCTACTTTCACAGTTGAGCTTTTCATTAAACATTTTTTTTAAAAAAAACCTGTCACGTGACCGTGTTTACCAATAAAGGAGGTAATCTCATCACACGCCCAGTTATCTACATCCTTAACCTTTGACCTCTACTAAGGTATTAAATCTCCTTCTAGTAAAGAAACCTCATCTCATACAATGCACCCTTTATGTTTAAACACTGTATATTAATTAATTGAATTGTCTTATCTGTTTTGATACATCTATAAAAACATTTTTTCCCTATTAAGTAGCCTTACGTCAACATTAATTAAGGCTAAGATTACATTAAATTGTATTTATGCATTTGAAGCTATAATTTCAGTAGCTTTATCTTTAAATAAACGTTACTTACAGGTTTAACGACATTTAAATCTATGTATTCTTTTTGTAAGCCTTTATATAAAGGCTGTGAATATATAGAATGTTCGATAAAGGAGCTATATATATATTGGCATTAGTTCTTTATAGACTCAATCTTTGTGCCTGTAGGTCTTTATGAAAGTTTTATCAATGAAATACAAAGGCTGTAAGGCTTAAATTATTTGTTTTGAAGGCTTAATCATCATTGGAAACGTTGAGGCTAAAGCAATTCGCTGTTTAAACCTTAAAGCCTCCAATTGTTAAATTCATAATAAAAGCTTCTTAAATTGTTTATTAAAGATTTGAAAGGCTTTAAGGCTGGCCATAAAGCCTTTATATTTTAATTTAATTTAAGTAAATCTTAATTGTTTTAAGCCTTATTTTTGCTGAATATGTATATATAAAGCTAGATTTTATTAAGTAATTTTAAAGGCTTTTAAGCCTTAAACCTTACTATAAATTAGCGTTAGCCTTTATGTATTTAAAATTTATCAAAAATCATACAGAATTAATGTTTTAATTATTAATTATAAATTATAAATGTGAGTGTAAAGCCTTAAATCCCCCTAAACTTTCGCCTATAATAGCAAGAGATACCCTTAAAGAACGTAGATTCTTTCAGAGATTCCAAAGACCTCTAACAGGATATTTATTAAAGACAACAGATCATATCCAGGTCAAAGACCAGGCAGCAATCTTGCCTTTACTGTTTGATAGCTTCAGGGGGTTACGACCTACACTTCGCAAAGACACCGGAAAAACGAGGCTGAAGAGCTCTCAATCACCATGATGATAATCGAGATCTTTCAAATCATTTATTTCATCTAAACGCAGGCTTTATAAAGGGTGGAAACTCGGAAAGGGCTAAACTTCTGTTGAGCCTTTAATACTAAACGACTGCCTTAAAATTAAACGCGTCGCTAAGGCTCAAAGACCCTCGAGTAAAAATCGATTTTTAAATCGTTAAAGAGCCTGTATGATAGCCTTATCGACAATCATACGTCTTTAAGGCATATCCTTAAACTACCTAAAGAGCCTTAAGGGCAATATGTTGCTTTTAAGGCTAGAATTTCTCGTATAACTAGCTTTAGCGTTTAAAAACGAATATAAGGCGTTAGATTTTTTTTTATTAGAAGCCTTAAACCCTAATCCTTATAGAATTAACCTTATAATTCTATAAGCAATGCTGTCTGATAGTACGAGGCACTTAGGTTGTGCTTTGAACAACACAACGTAAGAGCCTTACAGGCAACATTCCCTATTCTAATGCTCGCCGGGGAACATTCCCAGGGTCTGCGCGGTGTCAAAGTGACAATTAGGAACGAGTAACCCTATCCTACCGAACGAAACTTCTCTCGGAAAGCGCTAAAACACCTGCACACGGGACGTCACGTGACCGGGGGTGGAATGATGGCGCTCCGATCGTACGCTGCCATCTGCCTGTACTGGCAGACAGCGTCGGGCGTCACCTCATTCAGTCAGCGTCTTGGAAGGCGAGGAGTTATGCCCCGTCGATCAGGAGTTAAGTTTGGAGCCTCTTCACGTGGTGGTTGATTTGAAGTGAGGATGGCTGATCCAAGGACGCTTGTAGAAGGGTCTTTGAAATACAGAGATGGAAGGAAGGTAACGGTCACGTGGATCGTTAGCATTTGTGTGTGTGTTTTATATATATAAATATATATATATATATAGATATGTCAAAAAGGGGGATATGTAACACATTAGTTCTCTGTTCTAGTGGAAGTCCAGGTGGTGTGTAGTCAGCAAGCTGTCACCAGTAGCAGGTGGGTAACGTTCTATGTCAACAAAGCTCTTTTTTTTGCATACATATAAGGCTGTAATTTTAACTAAAATGTAGCCTTAAAATTAAAGAATCTTTAGGTGTGTAATTTACCTATGTTTAAAAGACCTTAAAGGTCATTTATCGCGTGATAATGATGGTATATAATCCGCGTCACAGCTTAACAAATGAGTTCTTTCGACCCTCCTGGGGATTAATGTTATAAAAGGGAGGCACACGCGGCGTCACGTGATTGAAAAGCAAAATTTTCAATCGATTCGAGTCCATTCGTCCAGTCAGTGGTAATACCTCGTGGTTTGTGTGTGGCCTGGGTCCAGACATTGCGGCGACACGGGGAATTTTCTTGGCGCACGCGCGCCTTAATGATGCCACCAAAGCAACAATCGCTTTTAACCCCCCCCCTTCTATTGTTTTAAATTTGTTACTATAATAGCATTAATTTAATGGATATTCCTGTGTTGGAATATCGGTAGACGATGGCTTGTACTCTCCAAAAAATGCGAATTTTCTGGCTCTCTCTGGTGTTTCCACCCCTCCAAGACGTGTTTCTTGTGTGACGAAGAGAAAAATCTAACCATTTATTGCTCTGTAATTCATTTCCTGAAGACAATTGCAATGCATCACGACAGGAAATAGCCTTTGATGATCGTATACTACAATATTGTGCGCTCCAATTTAAATGATGTAAAGGTTGGGGGACGTAAATGGATGTCATTATGCATCATACTTACTAATACACAGGTTGGGTAACGTTATAATGGCATATTTTCGCTTTCTTACCTGTTTAAGAACGTATTGACGATAAAGTTGAATAGAGGAAGGGTGCGGTTTATTTAAATTGTGCCTTTCCTTTTATGTATTGTGTGAATGGTAGAGGCTCGAGAGGCAATTAGCGAAGGTTTAGAAGCATTCACAGCTTACGTTAGTGAGGAATGGCGTTAAAGGGGGGTATTTCTAACATTATTGGCGTGCAGCTAGATTTTTCAGTGGAGAATAAGGTAGGAAAAAAAAGAACTTTTGGAGGCGAGGTCACATCTATTCGAGCTGTCTTTAAAGGTGAGGGATGTCTAATATTGTACGTATTCAGGCTTCAGGCTACTCAGTCTACAGGCTCCAACCTATTCAAGCTATCTTAAGAAGTTAAGAGATGTCTAAGGTAGCACATACTTCAAGCTTTAAGGCTATTCAGGCTGCATTAAAAAAGTGAGAGACGTTTAAGGTTATACGTATTCAGGCTTCAGGCTATTCAGGTTATTTTAAGAGGTGTCTAGGATATCACTTAATAAGTATCAGAATGAGATTATCAAGTATAGGATAAGATATCCTGAATATCTATCCTTAAAGCTGAAATTTCCTGAGAGGAAGGATGTCTCGAATTATAGCAGGAACATCTTGATCTATGTTGTTCAGTATTAAAATAGGAGTATTTATGGGAAGATAAAGTATTAAATAGGGGTATCTAGTATGATTTCCTCTAATAAATTTGAAATGTGAAATAGGATATCAGTTCAAATGTTGTGCCATTATAAAAATAGGATAAAGGATCAGAAAGATATTAAATAGATATACAATACTATAAGATTTTGCAGGATATTATTAGGAATTTCGTAGGATATCAAACAATAAAATAGATTTTTAATAGAATATTTCATGATATCTCATGTAATATACATAAAGTGTATAGTCTTTGAAGTATATCTAGCAGTGAAAAGGGTATTATAAGATATCAATTCAGCTTTGAAATATATGATTGTCTACATTAATTGAAGATATCAAAAATATGATATAAAAATCAAAGATATATCCTGTTTTTTTATATAATTAAATATAAATTTATGCATAAATACAGAGATGCAGCTGCAGAAATTACAAAGGGATATATATATATATACAGGAAACGTTGTTTCCTCGCTTGATATCACGAGATATACCTTTTTTATTTCGTATTAATTTACATGTTAGCTTCTGACATCGTGACATTTGGCAATATTTAAAATTTAATCTAGCATTAACTGAATTTTTCTCATTAAATTTTAATTAGTTTCGTGCATGAAACGGTTCAGCCATGTTTGAAAATTGATACGTTTAGAAGGTCAAATATGGACACGTTGATTAAGATAATAAAATAAACTAAAAATATAAACATAAATTCATATTTAACACGTAAAAATACTCAGAAAAATGTTAAAATTTTCGCGTAAAAATCGCCGCGAAATAATGGAAATTTAATACAAAAATATTCAAGTGATTGATACGTCGGAATGCTCAAGTTTAATGTTCAATAAACTCAATTAATTTCATCATAGAAGCGATTTTATTGAATATAATTAACACTTCGATATCCTTCTTCTTGATTCATTAACTAGATTTATTAATTATGTTGTAGGAGTTCATAATTTTCCCAACTTTCGACACCTGTTTAGTGTATGACATACATCATTTTGGTATTAGTTTAGTCATTTTTCCAGTTAAACTAAGGCCTTCAACCACATGTTGAACATACAAAAATATTTTTCTGTTTGACTTCTTCCCTTTGATGAGTATTACGTTACTGTAAGGGGGTGGGAAACGTTTCTCAAGCGCATCCAACAAATGTTAAAAGTCTTCAACAGATAAGGCATAAGTGGATTTTTTTTTCCTCCCCTCTAGGAACGAGAATCTCTTGCATATCCTTCATTTCTAATTCGTTTTATATAAAAATTTATAAATATTTTAATCTAAAAATATAATTTATATAAATTGAATTAATCTAAATCCATTTATTAACGTAAAATTGTGATTTTTCTGCTTATAAAAGACGTAAAATGTTTTTTATTTTTTTAGTAGGGATTTTCACGAAAATATCGGTAAATATACTACGTGATCTTGCTATTTGTTTCCCTATTATAGTACTTTTTTTTATCGTTTTCTTTAATAGATTTTTTCTTTTACAAATACTGTAAATTCTATCAAAGTAACATAAAGGATGCTGGAGATTTATCTTCTCCATCTTCGGATAAAGAAAATCTTATATATATATACATATTATATATAAGTTATATAGGGAGATACAAAGGTTTTTCTTCTTATTTTCTTCACTATGTACACGAGAAGAAGGGGTTTTTGATATCCCCAACAATACGTGACCAAAATTGCAACTCTTGTAGTACAAGAAGCAAAGCATCTCTCTCTCTCTTCCTCTCTCTCTCTCTCTCTCTGTCTCTCTCGCTCTCTTTGGTCTTCGTGACGTACGAGAATGGCATCTTTTTGATTGTATGCATCTTCGTGCATGATCGGATGGGTCTCTTTCGTGATTTGACTAAATCGAGCGATTCCCTAACTCAATTGCGTTCTTGTTCCCTAAAGTATTTTCCTCACGTGATATTTTTCGAGTAAGAAAACTAAATTCTATTCCTATTTTTCGGAAAGATTCTTAAGGATTTTAACTACATCTTACATGATTAATTCTTCTATTAAACGTATAAAGACGTTCAAAATGTTGACTACAAATAGAATCACCAACATTTTTAAACGTTTTTAAACGTTTTAATCAAGGAAGAAGACAGGAATCGTTACTCTAATTACTTTAAAATGTCATCTAGGAGCATTTTAAATGATTTAATTAAGGAATCTTTTACATTTCTATGTTACAAAACTTTAAATTTTCTTCTGATAAACGTATAAAGGTATCAAGGAACGTCGTCTAGAAGTTAAATTGTAATCTTTTCTGACATTTTTACATGTTTTAATCAAGGAGGAAAATTACGTTACTAATTATATTCTACAGAGATGTTAAGGATTTCGTCTCGAAATTCGACTATAAACTATTAAGTTAAGGAAGAAATTTGTGATATTTTAATCTTTTAACTATACAAAGCTCTATATTTTTAACTAAAGGCAAAAAAAAATATCATCTAGGATTAGAATCACCAACGTTTCTACCATTTTTATCAAGGAAGAAGATAGAAATCTCTAACTATCTAACTATATAATTCAATAGAAACTTGCCTGGAGGCTTTCAAGTATACTCTTGAGTAATGAAAATTATTAGAAAGACGTTAACCTGATTTTTCTTAAATTAATTTTATTTTTTAAGTAAAGAAATTAAATTCTTCCTTAATCTACCGAATTATTTTCCTTTTTTCCCCCCCCTTCTAAAATACAGAAATTTAATTTTTTTTTTTTTTTTTAACTTTAGAAGATCAGAATTAATTTTATTTATCTTTCTCCAGAGTTAAAATAATTGAATTTTGGTTTTAAAAACTTAATTGCTTTCACTGCTTTTCTTTAATTGAGGATTATAAATTTGTATCTTTTTTTCTTCTTCTTAGTGATTTAAACTTTAAAAAAAAATTGATATTTTTACTGTTTAAAGCTATTAAACCATAAGAATTTAATTAATTAACTATTTAATTTATTAGAAAACCATCAATTTAATTGGAAATAGATAAAATTTGACTGTCTTTTAATCAAAAATTTTGCATTAAATTGATGTAGAATCTAATTTTTTTTTTATGTTTTTATTACTTAAATTATATATTTTGCTACCATTTTAATGCTAAAAACGCGTTAAAATGAACAAATTTTGCAAGAATATTCCTTAAGTCTATACAGAATGAGTGCTACAGAACCAAATTAAGAAACACCCTTCATACAAATTATGTTACTATTTCTTTTTTACAAAATTCATAAAAAAAAATACTAGAGAAATAACCTTTCTCGACCCCACAACGAACAATTCCTTTCGTTTGTACTGTTAACTAAGTCTTATTCCCATAGGATTATGCAGTGGTGGGGATCCCTTAATAGAGAGGTGTTCTTCGTCCACGTTGCATCCATTCAAATGATAATAATGTTATCACAGTGGAAAGATGAATGGAAGGTATCCTACACTGTAGAGAGGAGGACCAGGTATATACACTGACAATCTGAAGTGGGATAGGGAGTATAAAAAATGACGTTTGACCACCTCAGACACCTGCTTCTCTATTGTTTGTTTAGCTG